TGTTGACTATCGGAAATTGAATAAAGTTTCGGTGGCGGAAGCGTACCCGCTTCCACGAATTGATGATTCACTGGACGCCCTGTCCGGCGCCAGAATCTTTTCGACCCTCGATTTGTTGTCGGGCTTTTGGCAATTGCCCCTGGATAAGGAGTCAAGACCTAAAACGGCATTTCGGACACCACAAGGATTATATCAATTTAACGTGCTCCCGATGGGACTCCACTCAGCGCCGGTGACCTTCCAGCGATTAATGGAACTCGTGTTGTCGGGCCTACAGTGGGAGTCATGCTTGATATATTTAGATGATGTGATTGTTTTCAGTAGGAATTTCGATGAACTTTTGCAACGGCTGCGCGCCATTTTTGGCAGAGTGCGGCGCGCTGGATTGAAATTTAAACCACAGAAGTGCCAATTGTTAAGAACATCGGTGAAGTATTTGAGGCACGTCGTTAGTGCATCAGGAGTGGCCACTGATCCGGAAAAGACGAGTTGTGTGCGTACATGGCCAGTGCCGAAAACAGCAGGGGAAGTGCGTAGCTTTGTGGGCTTTGCGTCGTATTATCGGCGGTTCGTTAAGGATTTTGCCACGATTGCTCGACCATTGCATACGCTGACCGGGAAAGGTGTGAAGTTTCAATGGGGGATTGCTGAACAAAAATCGTTTGAAGCGTTGCGGGCCGCACTGGCGGACGCACCGCCGTTGGGATACCAGGATTTTACGAAACGATTTATACTTGACACGGATGCCTGTGATACGGGATAGGCGCGGTTTTGTCACAAATGGTTGATGGCGTCGAGAGAGTGGTGGCATATGGCAGCCGGGTGTTATCGCCAGCGAAGCAAAAATACTGTGTGACGCGTAAGGAATTATTGGCGATTGTCCATTTTGTGCGCCAGTACCGACCGTATCTATACGGCAGGGAATTTTTGATCCGCACTGATCACGCGGCGCTACAGTACTCACTAGGTGTGGATCAGCCGTCGGGGCAAATGGCTCGCTGGATTGAGACCCTCCAGGAGTACTCTTTCACGATCCAGCATAGGAAAGGAATGCACCATGTAAACGCGAATGCTTTGTCGAGGTTGCCGCGACCGGCTGAGATGTGTCGGTGCACAGAGGGCTCGCTGCGTTGCGGCCCGCCGCTGCAGGAGCTTCCGCAAACGGTCGCTACAGCGGGTTCGGGGGTGCCAGGGATAATCCCTGGAGCAGAAATTGGACTGTTGGGGTTGTCATTGAAGCAGTGGAAGCAACTGCAGGTGGAAGATTCCTCGCTGACCAGGATGAGGCTGCGTGCCTCTCGTTCAAGGGGATCGGAGGATCACCCATTTTTGATGTTAACGGAGGGATTGCTTGTTCGCTGGGATGTGGAAGCACAAAAATTTTGTATTGTTGTCCCGAAGGTGTTGCGGGGGAAACTGATTAACGAGATACATGAGAAATTGATGCATCTGGGGGAGAAGAAGACCGCGTTGACGGTGGGGAGTGAATTTTACTGGCCGGGAATGTTTAGCGATGTGAAACAGCATGTAAAAGCGTGCCAGGAATGTGCACGGAGGAAAGTGCCGGCACGGCCATATCGTGTCCGTTTGCAATCGATTCAAGTTTCGAGAGTGAACGAAATTGTGGCACTAGATATTTTGGGTCCATTCCCCATCACCCCCCGAGGGCACAGATATTTGCTCGTCGGGGTGGAATACTTAACTCGTTGGCCGATGGCATGGCCGCTAGTAGACCAGTCAGCGACGTCGATCGCTGAGGCTTTCTTGAAAGGATACGTATTAGATAAGGGGGCCCCGGAACATTTGCTTACTGACCAAGGCAGAAATTTTTCATCGAAATTGATTAAGGACGTGTGTGACTCACTGGGGACCAAAAAGATCCGGACGTCCCCGTACCACCCGCAGACTGACGGGATGGTCGAGCGGCTGCATAGGACGCTGACGTCCATGCTTTGTCACCAAGTAAACACTGCTCAAGATGATTGGGATCTGCATGTTGCAGCGACGCTGGCCGCGTATAGATTGGCCCCGCATGCCTCAACGGGGTACTCGCCATTTTTTCTGATGTATGGACGGGAACCGGAAGCGCCGGCTATTGTAAAATTGGGGATTCGAAAACGGGAGAAATCTACGACGGTGCCTGCTCCGATGCAGGTGGCTTTGGACCGTCTAAGGGAAGCCCGAGAGGCTGTATTGCAAAATACGGCACGACAAGCCGCTAACGAAAGATTGTTCGGCAGGCAGCGGCCACGAGAGCCGTGGAGTGTTGGAGATAAAGCCTGGTTGCACTGCCCCATGGTGCCGGTGGGAACGTCCCCGAAGTTTCACCGCCCCTGGCAGGGGCCCGTTGATATTGTGGAGGTTTTACGGGATCAGAGTGTGCGAATAAAATTCGGTCGTCGGACATGGTTTGTTCATCCGTCGCGCCTGAAGAAATTTGTGTTACCATATGATGCGTCATCCCCCATCGAGAGCGGCCTGTATTGGATGTGTCCGACGAACCTGTGGGGAGGTCACAAGTGCGCGTGTCCCAGAGATCTGCCCCCCGTGTGCCTGCAGGATCGCCCTTTTTGGGCAGGGTTACCGACCGGACGCCGATTGAACGGCCACAGATCCGGACCAATGGCCGTCCCGACCGTGAACGATGGACAGCCCCGCCAGCTGAGTGTCGCTGGGACAGGGATGGGCGCAGGGTTCATTGGCAAGACGAGCGAGGCCCTCCCTTACCGCAGGGTATCCCGTGCAGGGGAGATGGACTGGCAGCGGGAACCCATTCCAGGAGGAATACAATACATTGACTTTGGGGGTTGGGAATTCTATATAAAGGTGTTGTGTGTGTGTCGTTGTGTGATTGTACAAAATGGTTGTGTATTGCAAATGCGTTATGTATGCGTTATATATGTTGTCATCGTTCCGTCCGCTTCACTTCACTACTCCAATTCGAGTATATCGTAGCCGGGGACGGCTAGGTTCTTTCATCACGGGGGGGGGGGGGGGGGTGATGTAGTGGAGTAAACAATACGCATAGGAATTGGCCACATACAGTACATACAGACAGACAAGGAGAACGGGTCACATGAGGTCGAACAGGTGGTCGAGTCACAGGTGGCGTAAACAACCCGAAGTAATTAAGGGAGTCGTGGCACGAGGGCTGTGATTGGTCGAGAGGCTGTTAGTGTTAAGTGGTGGCGTCTCAATGTCTGACGGAGGGGACAGGTACGAGCTGGCGGAAAATGGCCAGCGAGCCACGTGGCAATTAATTAAGGCTAATGCGAGAGGGGATAAAACGCGAGGTGATTTGAACGGAGGGGGAGTTGTTGCTGGGCAGTTGTTGGCGAGAGGTGGAGAGATGCGAAGAGGACAGCTGGCAATGTTAGGGAAGAATAGATAGAGAGTCGAACCCCAAAGACAATAAATAGCGATAGGGAGAGTTAGCGTTAGCGGAGATAGAGTCACTGTGTGTGGATAGATATATGGAGTCACTGTGTGTGAATAGACAGACAGGATACTGTGTGTGAATAGATAGAAGAAGAACCACTGTGTGTGGAAGGGAAGTCACTGCGTGTGAAGAGATAGCGGCGATACTGTGTATGAGGAGATAGAAGAAGAACCACTGTGTGTGGAAGAGACACTGTGTGTGAAGAGATAGAGGAAGAACCACTGTGTGTGGAAGGGGATGCACGGACGATGCTGAAGCAACTCGGAGTGTCCGAGTTGGCAGAGCGCGAAGAGAATTACTGTGTGTACGGAACGATGGAATAAAAGTGACGGCGGAAAAAGAGACGGTTGTCGTCCGAGTGAATTCACGGCACTACATAAGCACTGAAAGAGGGAAAGCTCCAGAATTTGATAGACGAGCTGTGGATATCTTGAAGAAGTGACAGCAGCTTTTAGAACAAATTAGTGGATCTATTTACTAAATGTTCTTTGAATATGGATTCCTGCAGTCACGAAAGCTTCAAATCAAGATTGTGAATGTGTGTGTCTGTTCGAAATGTTTAGCATACGTCCCGACATGCAACAAACTTAAAATTTGTCATGTGGGTGGCTTCCAGACTGTACACAATGCAAAAAGTATAAAAAAGAGACTTTTGTATTTTGGGGGGGGGAGGGGGGGGGCGCAATAATGGATATATTTTGCACGGCAAGTGAGTGGTGATGTCACATCTGTGATGTCACGCGCATGCGGCAGCGTTACGCAATGTGCCTGCTGACGTCATGCCCCCCCCCACCCTCCACGTAGCCCGTGTATCCCGCACAAATGCGCGGCTGGGGGGGGGGTAAATAATGGATATAATATACTAGGACTAAACTATTAATTTCCGTGCGAAGAACGCCTGCTAGTAATGAATAACAGCAATCAATAATTTAAATATAGTCGGATATCCCAACTCTAAACGGCAGCCAGGCTGTCGAATCTTGTGGCCTCCAGGGCAATGCACCCTTCACCCTCACTGCTGGCTTCCTGGTGTCACACCACCACTAGCCGGTAAAGCACATGCTACAACTGCCACCCCTCAATGTTTCTACTTTTGCCACTTGTGCCCAATAAAATGTTGTTTTTATTCCAGGCCCAATTTTCAGGGCTGCTTTGGTTTGATTATCATGACTTTCTCACAATAAGTTTTGTTAAAAAGTGGCACTCTCTCGGAAAAGTATTTTTTTCCCCATTAGCCATGGTGTCTGGCCTATTTGTACAGAACACTAAATTCTTGTCTGTAACTTCCTGGTCAACATTTTCAGATTACAAATTAACACATAGTTAACAAATATTTTACTATACAGATGATATAAACACTCTAGACGTTGATTAATAGTCTATTAGTAATCAGCTCATTATTGTTGTGCATTTGCATTAAAAAATGGGAAACAGAGAGAGGCAAATATTCTCCAAGGGATAATTAAGGTTTTATGAATAGCGGACACAGGTTAATGATTCATCAGTGACGGCCTGACAAATAATTACCCTGGCTGCAGACGGAGTAACACTGGGTGGACACCACAGCTTAGACCTAGTCTCGAGATTTTCCTGAACTGAACAATACTGAAGATAATAACGCCAAGGATCTTCACTTCAAAATGAACTGCCACGCGTTTGTTTTTCTCTGCGCTGCCCTGCTGAGCTCAACTTCTTTGATTGAATCACAAGGTAATTGTTTGTTCCTAAAGGCATGTAACCAACTGGAATTTCAATATATGCTTAAAGAACCAGCATTAACATGAAAATATTTGTTGTCTTTTTTATATCAAACTTAGCATGTCTCTTGAATTGTAAAATTACTTGCATAATCAAAACAGATATAAAATATTTAGACTAATTATTTGGTTTGGTGATATTGCATTAATAGTGATGTGCAAGGACAAATAACAGTAATCTCAATACATTTCTCAATAACACTGCCTTAAAAAATGAATATTTATCAAACATTTTAGGTGACATTTCAGGCAATGGCTCTTCTTCATAGTACATGTGGTATGAAGAACGCCTATTGCCCAAAACGTCACTTTTATATAATCCTTTGAAGACAGTATTATTGACGAATGTGTTGCGTTTTCAAGTTATTCTAAATGAACCATAATTCTTTACATTGCATTACCTGTAATAAATAACAGCAATGAGAGAAGCAGCAGGAGTGATCTCCCATTGAATAAGTAGGGCCCTGCTGTGGCAGACTGTTAACTACCTCTTCTTTGGTTCTTTCGGTAAAGTCACGTAGAATGAGAATAAAATAATAAATTGATCAAATACAATAACACAATAATATTCTCACGACGTTTCGTCCACAACACAAGCGGCCTTCATCAGGTGAAGGGGACGAGACTGTCTGGTTATTTTATTTTATCAATTTATTATTTTATTCTCATTCTACGTGACTTTACCGAAAGAACCAAATAAGATGAATCCTTGCAGTCACGAAAGCTTTAAATCGAAATGTTAACTACCTCGCCTGGAAAACAGAGGCCATATGTTCGATCCCGACCCTGACTCCTGTATATTTGGAGTTTGCATGACTATCCCCGTGGTTGAATGGCTTTTTCTCCGAGTCCTCTGTTTTTTCCCTCCGCTTTTAGAAACAGGCGTTTAGAGTTATTGGCTGCTATGAATGTCCACATAAGCCAATTCGTTCCGCTATCATTTGTGGCCAGGTTGCTTCTGAAAAAGAGCTATATATTTATATCCAAAAAATACATGTAAAAATATATTTCATATATTTTTATTTTAAAATAAAATTTTGTTTTGATAGTTTTAATAAAATTGATGATTCTTTGGGATTTTCCAGCAGGCCTTAGCAACATGTGAAGGGGAGTAGAGTGAGATGAGAACAAGACAGTCAATGGGCGATTGTGAAAACACTGAGGGCGATCATAATGTTGACATGGGAATGGATTGTGCTATGTCACTGCAAGCATTAAGTACAAAATCAGGCAGCATGTCTACATGGTCTGGTCAAAGTGCACAGAAAATCCAAATGTAGTCTTTCAAAACATTTTTTGGAGTAGCAGTTACAACAGCTGCTGTGACAAAAAGAGTGTATTCAGATGTTAAATTTCTCTAATAAGTTACAATATTGAAGCCCAGCAGCAAACATAATATATACCACTGGAGTTTTAAAATGTTTTTTATTACAGCATTTGATAAACTTGTGGATATTTTTTTATGAATGCAATGTTCAATGACTATTAATTGTGTGCATCTGGATTTTTTCCAACACTCTTCATCAACCACCTGAATAAACAACAACCAATGGTGACACGGCATCGATCACAATGACCACGGAATGCTTAACAGATGACACGGCCTCAACCACAGTGGACACGGCAACAACCACAGTGGTCACGGCCTCAACCACAGTTGACACGGCAACAACCACAGTTGACACGGCCTCAACCACAGTTGACACGACACCAACCACAGTTGACACGGCCTCAACCACAGTTGACACGGCCTCAACCACAGCGGACACGGCAACAACCACAGTTGACACGGCATTAACCACAGCTGACACGTCAGCAACCACAGTTGACACGGCAACAACCACAGTTGACACGGCATTAACCACAGTTAACACGGCAACAACCACAGTTGACACGGCAACAACCACAGTTGACACGGCAACAACCACAGTTGACACGGCATCAACCACAGTTGACACGGCATCAACCACAGTTGACACGGCATTAACCACAGTTGACAAGGCAACAACCACAGTTGACACGGCAACAACCACAGTTGACACGGCATCAACCACAGTTGACACGGCATCAACCACAGTTGACACGGCAACAACCACAGTTGACACAACAACCACAGTTGACACGGCCTCAACCACAGTTGACACGGCCTCAACCACAATTGGCACGGCAACAACCACAGTGGACACGGCAACAACCACAGTTGACACGGCCTCAACCACAATTGACACGGCAACAACCACAGTTAACACGGCAACAACCACAGTTGACACGGCCTCAACCACAATTGACACGGCAACAACCACAGTTAACACGGCAACAACCACAGATGACACGGCAACAACCACAGTTGACACGGCAACAACCACAGTTGACACGACACCAACCACAGTTGACACAGCAACAACCACAGTTGACACGGCATCAACCACAGTTGACACGGCAACAACCACAGTTGACACGACACCAACCACAGTTGACACAGCAACAACCACAGTTGACACAGCAACAACCACAGTTGACACGGCAACAACCACAGTTGACACGGCATCAACCACAGTTAACACGGCAACAACCACAGTTGACACGGCCTCAACCACAATTGACACGGCAACAACCACAGTTAACACGGCAACAACCACAGTGGACACGGCAACAACCACAGTTGACACGGCAACAACCACAGTTGACACGGCCTCAACCACAGCGGACACGGCAACAACCACAGTTGACACGGCAACAACCACAGTTGACACGGCAACAACCACAGTTGACACGGCAACAACCACAGTGGACACGGCCTCAACCACAATTGACACGGCAACAACCACAATTGACACGGCAACAACCACAGTTGACACGGCAACAACTACAGTTGACACGGCCTCAACCACAGTGGACACGGCAACAACCACAGTTGACACGGCAACAACCACAGTTGACACGGCAACAACCACAGTTGACACGGCAACAACCACAGTGGACACGGCAACAACCACAACCTCCCCCAACGCAGCCACAACCACCACAGCTACAACCACCGCCAACACAGCCACAACCACCACAACCACACCCAACACAGCCACAACCACCCCCAACACAGCCACAACCACCACAGCTACAACCACCCCCAACACAGCCACAACCACCACAGCTACAACCACCCCCAACACAGCCACAACCACCACAACCACACCCAACACAGCCACAACCACCACAACCACACCCAACACAGCCACAACCACCACAGCTACAACCACACCCGACACAGCCACAACCACCAAAACCACCCCCAACACAGCAACAACCACCCCCAACACAGCAACAACCACCACAACCACCCCCAACAAAGCCACAACCACTACAACCACCCCCAACACAACCACCACAACCACCCCTAACACAGCCACAACCACACCCAGCACAACCACACGAGTAACAACTGCAGTTTTCTCAACCACTCGAACATCTACAACACCAATAGGTAAGCTGCTTCTATTCCTAACATTTATATCCGCCACTTATCACTATGACATAAGGCCTCTTTGTATGGTCATGAATATGTGATCCAACTGGCTTACTCTCTCAGCCTTTGGCAACGCCAATTAACGTCGGGCCACGTCCATTTGTCAATAGACCGTTGAATGAGAGGGGGGGTATGGGGGGCTTCCTCGCATCGTGGGGGGCCAGGTGGAGTTATTTGGCTCTATACCTGGGGGTCGGCAACAGAATAAAAAATAGGCTTTTTTTTCGAATTCGGTAACAAAAAAACAACTCAATATTTCGGGACGGTGGTCCCGAAAAAATAATGTCACGACGAAGTCCTTAAAGAGTCTTAGAGCTCTCTTCACTTGATACAGCAATTTGCTGTGCCGGTTTCCACCTGAAGACGGAAGCTTGTGTTGCCTCCGAAACGTCGTGATTTAATTTAGTTGATTTCATTTATTTATTTTACCTACGTGACTTTACCGAAAATGCCAAAGAGTACGGTACATACTTTATATTTCACCACGGTGGTCACTTGCGAGCACTGACGTGAGAGATTCATTGTGCGGGGTACGGTGCAACTGCATACTTGTGAACCCCTTATCAGTGCCTACCTTATTACACACCAACTCAGACCGTATAAGTTCATCCTATAAAGTCCCATCACAAGGGATAAACACAAATAGACGAAAAAAATGTGTCCGTATTGAAACGGCTGTATGCCGTGTGAACGTGAAAACTCAATTTCCCTGTACAAGAATACGGGGTAAACCGCATGGGTTGACACGGTATGGAACTGTGGATTTTTGCTCCTGGGGGCTTTTTGCTGCTCTGCCCTCTGCTGCCACTTTCATAAACCCGCATCCAGGGTCGTAGATAAGAAGAAATTCCTGGGGGAACCCCCTCGATCTGGTCCGCACCAACTAAGCCTACGCGCAAGGAGGAGGGGGGGCGCCAGCATTGACAAATATATTTTTCCCTGTTTCAGCACGTTGATCTCAACAACGTTGATTGAACGTTCCGTCCTTACTTGGTGCCACTTGGCATGCGCGCCCCCAACAATACGTGCAGTGTGCTGTTTTAATGCGAAGCGGTACTGTCTCAGAGACACCGTGGTACCTCCAGAATCATAGAAGCACGTTGGTCCCCTCTGACCCCCCTCGTCTCACAGATGCGCAAATTATGTTTGAGGGCCCTTAAGGGGCTTGTGAGACGCTGTGCAATATTAAGTCTAATTTACAGTTTCTAAAGTAGTATTTATCATTAGATTGTGAATGTTACAAGTGTTGCTACAAACTTTGAGAGCACAAATAATGTTATCCACGTATTCCCACTTAGGTGACGATGTTTGTAAATCGTCTTCATGCAAAGAATATGAAGACTGCATACCGAAGTGGAACGGACCGGAATGTAGATGTCATATCGGATTTTACAAAAAAAGTGATAAAGAAAAATGCTTGCCAGGTGAGAGCAAAAGTTGTCGACGAAATGCAATATAATAAAAATCAACGTTTGTGTTGTTCACAACTTGAACACCAACAATGGCTAATATATTGATGTCACAAATTACAATCCTGTGGAACGCATTCGCACTGCATGGTTCGTTTACATAGGCTCCGTTTTTTCACCTTGTGTATCATTTTTTATGGTCATGCAATTACTTTTTTTAATCGGGTGATATCCACCCAATACGGGTTTTTTCATTAAAATCGAATTCTCAAGGTAAAATATCTTTAGTTTTCGAATTCTTGTACACATTTGTGACTTTTTATGCACTATGTAGACAAAAAATATTGATGAGGACTATTCGTAAGGCAACATGTAATACACAATTGTATTGGAAGTAAATTTCTTAGGGTGCATTACATATGACATAAAAAAGTACTTAATACAGTGAATTAAATCAAAAGTAATAATTGTGTCGACTTGCTAAAAGGAAAAACTTTCAGACAACCTTCCACAAAATTGTTTGATATTTTACTGTAATACTGTAACACCCAGAACATTGAAGTACTCTGAGAGATCATTGCTATGTTTTACAATAATTCATTTGCTTGTGTTTTTAATGGAAAATATTAATTGTTGGTGACATTTCATTCTAGAATTTTAAATAGTAATTAGTGTGCATTTCTTATGACTGGAATGTTGTAACATGAATATTACAGATGTCCTGAATTAATGTTTTTTTATGATTCCTTTTTAATCTTGCAGCAAAGGCATTTCCAAACACATGGCATTCAGTTAGTAAGGAATTTCATTCGCAAATGGAAAATATAACCTCAGATGAGTTTAAGGAAATTGAAACAATCTTCCAGAAAATGGCAAGTATTGTTCTTATATGCCTTTTAACATAATTAAAATTGGACGTATTGCATGCGAGGGCTTCTGCATACAAAAATGTGCTTTTATATGAACAATTGTAATAACAATAATAATCTATAGAGGGTTTTTTGTTATATCGCATAAATATAAATGTGTCGTTAAACCCGCCACCACCTGACACAACCAAATCGTAAGGTTTGTCACGTCAACAAAACGTGCCAGTTAGTTACTACTTCACACCGATGCGTTGGATAGTAAACCCACAACATTTACAATTCACGTACGACGTTTCGCCAGGAATTACAACTAGGAACTGAATAAATAATATTTCACAAAGTAATGAGCTGATATTAAAATAGTAAACTTTATCAAATGGGTAAATGTAGTTTGCATATATGTGTAATGATAGTGTGATTGTCTATTCAAACAAAGTATTGTATTTATTCTTTTGAAAAAAAACCTAACAATTTTTAAAGACAAACATGAACTTTAATATACTGCATAGCAGCGGTCCCCAACCTTTTTGGCACCAGGGACCGGTTTCGTGGAAGACAATTTTTTTCACGGACCGGTGGGGGGGGTCACCATTGGGTCTTTTCCCCTTTTCAAAGAAGCTCTCCAGCGACGTTTGATTTTTACTCATTGTGGCTACTAGGGGTTAGAGCTTGTGGGCTTACCAAAACTGTGACTGAGACAAGTGCGCAGTGCGGGAAAGAGGCGCGCACAGAAGTGGTGAATAATAAAATAATCATGGGCGGGCCACGTGCGGACTCACCGCTCACCTCCTGCTGTGCGGCCCGGTTCCTAACAGGACACGGACCGATAACGGACCCCTGCTGTATACTATATGACTTTCATATACTATAAGAAATCTTACTGCACAATGTGAGCAAAAACTATTGTTATCGCTGTAGCACTGTAAATGTTAAAACAGAATGGTGGAAAATCGCATTGGGGATTCAACAAACAGTATTGTATTTTACCATTGCATAATATCCGTTTTCTTGCAGTTTAAAAATGGGTTTACAAACGTGAATGACAAGTACCTTAATGTCAGTGTCATCAAAATAAGGTAATTGTCCATTCATTTTTGCTGTAAAGTGTAATTTTAACAACCTATGCCAATTTTGTAAAAAAAAAGCATTGGCTCAAGACAAAGTGACAAAAATACAGTACCATATTGTACTGCATAATTTCTACAGTTGAAGATAATTCAACATACCCAGGGTCACCTGGTTGAACAGCGTGTGCACGGTGGTGCATCACAACTCTGCTCAATCTGCCCAACCAATGTTCACGCTTTATTTTGATTTTTTTCTATTATTCATATTTGTCTGAATGTGCTGTTTAGATTAGAGTACGGGTATGTTGTTACCCCGTAATGACTCTTCAGTTGCTTAAAGTAGGTCATTACAATTTATATTCCAATTTAGATTTTCGTTGTTATTAAATGTTGTAGAATCGGTCGGCTTAAATGGGACCCACAAATATATTCAAATCTGTTTCTGTGTAAACAATGTAGTTTGTCAGTATCTCGAAGCTCCCTTTATATACACAACATACAACAACTAAATTGCACTGGAACACTAATTACAGAACATTAATTATATGCCGTGCAGTATTGAGTAAAGCAAAATCATAAACATTTAGTTCGATGTTGGCATTTTCGCTTTGTCAATAACATATACAGTCATGTATAATTATACAATTATGAAAAATGTTTGATAATAACTATCATATAGAGCACCTAATACTGTACTGTGATAGAGTAGCTTTAATACAATATACAATTTAGAGTGAGCCACTGGTGGAAATTCAACATTGTCATGGCAAGGATAATTTAATCCACGGAGCAGCTAATGGTTGACGAATCTATATTTATGTAAACTATTACTATACTGAGTGCTCACTAACCTCTGAAAATGTTTGTTTCTAACAGAAATGGAAGTATCATAGTAGATTTTGTAATAATGTTTGATATGGAATCTCGCATTACGACTAAACAAGTCACCGACATAATCAATGCTACAATAGATCACTGTAGTAACGAGGCAAACTGTTACAATATGACTTTCTCGGCGATAGAAAGTAAGTATCAAATGAAGTGAAATACAACTTAACACCTTTTTGATATTGTCATTGAGTTCTACTGAGTTTTTTTAAAATAATCGAATAACTTATACAGTACTGTATATAGAGTACTGCATGAAAATGCATGAGGTAAATAAAGGTAATCTTGTAAAATTCTACTTTTTATGGAATCAGATTACAGTACTTACTGTTGTATTAAATGTGGCCCAGTGGTTAGCGCCCGACACAGTAAAGCCAGCAACTTGGGTTCGAGTAATGGATATGGCTAATATCAGTGGTGAGTGATATCTGAACTAATCCTGGGCTCCCCTTTCAACAACCTGGACTGACCAACGTCAAGTTTAACCAATAAACCATGCCCAGCTTGATATGGAGAGGAGTGTTCAAGCAACAATGGATTAACAATGGGCTGTACTTCGCCTATAAAACCTCAAGCAATCAGTAAAAATACATCGATGATACTGCATTGGTTTGAAAATGTAGCTCAATACAAACTTGCCTTTTAACATTTCATGCTGCTATATAATAAGAATTGTGTTATTTGACTAAAAATCCACATGATCTAATAATTAATTTCTGGTATGTTTTTAAATCGTGCTTTGTTCCATGGAAATGCTAGATTTGACTTATTTCACAAACAATTACATGAGTAATTTTTACTCAGGAACCATTAAAGTAAATTAAGGTGTCCCTACATTTCTCAAAAACAGGATATTATTTTTCCAGTTATGAGAATTCCTATCAGGAGGTGGCATGATTTTAACAGCCAAGGGCACACTCTGTGACACTGGGTAACAAAGTTAACCTTCAGTTTTCTATGGGTCTTTCGGTAAAGCCACGTAGATAGAAAAAAATAAAAAATATATCACGACGTTTCGATCGCAACACAAGCAATTGACTTCTCTCACCTGAAGACGATTGCTAGTGTTGCAATCGAAACGTCGTGATATTTTTATTATTTTTCTATCTACGTGGCTTTACCAAAAGACCCATAGAATATGTATTCCTGCAGTCACGAAAGCTTTAAGATTTAACCTACAGTACCTCATTTAACATTTGAGCTTTTCAGTCACCAGGTTTCATTCAAATGAGAGGAATTTTTTTTAAGGGAAATATTGAGTGCCACGTTTTAGTGACTAACAATAGGCTACCCTTTACCTACACTAACCGACCACATGGATCGTTGTATTGCATTATTATAGAGTTGACCCCATGAAGATTTGCCCACTTTTCTTCATGATAGTGTAGTGGAGTATGAAGGTGTGCTATGGAAACTGCGCGATTGTATGATCACACGGACAGTGTGGGGTAACTTTGGGTCGGCCTATGGAAAAGGCGTAAACAGCGTGGGTCGTCTTAGGACAGTCACGTGCAGAGGCTGAAAGATGAGGTAATCGGTTGGGCCAATTAAGATAAGATCAGCAACGGCGGTGATTGGCTGTGGCTGTTGTCAAGGGCGAGGAGGCGTCGGAATGTCTGAGAGGGAACAGGTGGTGGAGGACGCGAGGCGTGCGGAGGCACGCAGGCCAATTGGTGATAATGAGAAGGGGGATAAATTGGAGGGAGTTGTTGAATGGGGAAGAGCTTGGAGATGGGTTGAAGTCGCTGTGTGCGGAGTTGAGGAGTTGGAGAGAGTTGGGGTTCGGAGTTGGAAGCTGGAAGATGAAGACGCAGAGTTAGGAACGGAGTAGAAGCAGAGGCTAGAAACAGAGTGGGAAACAAGAGTGAGAGACGAAGCAGTTAGTAGTGGAGTGAGCGTAGCGTTAGCGGAGCTGAAGTAAGACGAAGTAGTTAGCAGTGGAGAGAGCGTAACAATAGAGGAGCTGAAGACGCTGTGTGCGGAGCTGCTGAACGGAGACTCGCTGTGTGCGGAGAAGCTGAGGAGAATAGCCAGCAGTGGAGAGTGCGTAGAAATAGAGTTGAAGACGCTGTGTGCGGAGCGAAGTGATATTGGGGAGACAAAGGTGGTGAGCGAGACGGGCAGAGCACGGCGAGCGAGCCGTGGTGTCCAGGATACTGTGGAGTGTGGAGGGAGGACATGTTGAATGATGTAAATAAAGCGGTGTTTGAAGAAACACAGAAGTTGTTCGCGTCAAGTCAAACACTACAATAGCATGAATGGTATATCAGTATTTTCTATTGTCTTCCCATGCGTTTACAACTGATGGGGATTCTCATTGCATGGAGTGTTAGCCTGTCGCTTGTTTACTATGTTCCTTAAAATGTGTTCATAAAACAATACTGTGATAGTGTTTTATATAACTGCATACATGGTCTTATATCATTGGACTTTCTTCCCACCAGCATTCACGATGTGCGGTGCATATTTCTGCAATAATAAAACAACAACGGCATGCCGCAATATTGGAAATGGAGTGACACATTGTCAATGTAATGAGGGACTTGGAAGATACAGCAATACTAGCAACAATTGCATTGGTAATTCCACTCACCAGCTACAATATTCCAATTCTAATTATGCTACGCTATTGTTGTTTCTTTCTATACAGTACTCATTGTTTTTGCATTACAGCATGTCCAAATATCCTGGAAGGCGACATATGTGAAGGGTAAGTGATATCAAGGACTTACATTTGGAAAATATGTTAATGTTTTTTCTCTTAAATTATTAAATAATTACAAATATATACATGTTAATTTTACACTAGCCTTTCATTTAACACTAACGTAGAGTTTTGTCCATAATTGCAGATGTCCGTTTGGCTATAGTGGTCAAGACTGCAAAGATTGTGAGTTTCATTTATTGTCACACGAAGCAAACCATCACAACATGCAAAACCCTGGCTGTTCGATCTCCTGACAAAAAAACACTCCCATCTCTGAAGTTACAGATCACCTCGGCTGTCAAGCCCTGGTTCCATTACACCACTCGGCTGTTTTGCCCAAGACGCCCACATATAGAACTCATTATTGCAACCTGTACATTTATTCAAATCTGCCACCATGGATATCTACAGAGACCATCACTGGGCTCATCTTCTTTGGTTCTTTCGGTAAAGTCACGTAGAATGAGAATAAAATAATAAATTGATCAAATAAAATAACACAATAATATTCTCACGACGTTTCGGCCACAACACAAGCGGCCTTCATCAGGTGAAGGGGGCGAGACTGTCTGGTAGGACAGCGCTGGAGTGCGCTGTCCTACCAGACAGTGCTGTCCTACCAGACAGTCTCGCCCCCTTCACCTGATGAAGGCCGCTTGTGTTGTGGCCGAAACGTCGTGAGAATATTATTGTGTTATTTTATTTTATCAATTTATTATTTTATTCTCATTCTACGTGACTTTACTGAAAGAACCAAAGAAGATGAATCATTGCAGTCACGAAAGCTTTAAATGGAAACATCACTGGGCTGTTTTTGATCCTAAAGGTCATTTTAAACATCCGCAAATTATTATCTCAAGGAACACTTAGTTCCCTCCCGTAGCTTAAGAATTGCCACATTATTACTACTAAGAATTCCATGTTCTAGAACTGTTTGGTAAGAAGTATTTTTGCGTTGCCATTTCACATCTGGAATCACCATGTTGTTCATCTCCAGCTTGGTACCCTCCCCCTCTTTATTTTCCTCCGAAACCAAAACAAAGAGGATACTTGGACGTGTACCGAACTTCTTTTGGCACCTCTTGCTCCCACGTGTTTGCACTGTCTTTTATGATTCGTGTCTTTATGCCACTTAAACTAAAACAGAGTCTTCTTTCACCTGTACCTAACTTTCCATATGACACTTGTACTGACTTTGACTCGCGTGATTAGTTTATGACCGTCAAATACCTCCAATACCGTCAAATACGCTGCTGTTGCACGTGACTGAAATGCCTTGTCACTCAGGTTAGGCTAAGCTCCCTCCGCCTTTTCAAAACAATCAAAGCTCAAATAGCTCAGTTGGGCTGCACCTGTATCTTTACAACCCGCTTGCTTTTACTTTTCACATTCCCGTGATGGTTATATTGGTTTATTCATTTCATTGTGTTCATTTCACCTCATGCACATCTCCTCTCGAACCATTCATTATCTCATCTTTGCTTTTGGTGTAATATACTTTTTTGTGTGGTCAGTATGCATGTTTATATAGCTATTGTTATTTATTGTTTTTTAAGCACTTTTCGCCTGCACATCTGACACATTCTGCTCCATTGTTCCCTGTCCCTCCTTGAAGGATCACTTTAATGTTGTTCTTGTTCTGTGCTGATACACCACGGATATCCCTTTCAAACTAGCTGGGTAACTGGCTAAATGGGAATTCTGTGTACCAAATCAACAACGATTGATTGAAGACATAAACACACTCTGACCCCTGCCTCTTACCTCACTGTAATGTGTAAAGAGATCTGAATACACCAAATATTAAGGGTGGATAATTTTTTATCATAAATTACATTTTTTAGGCCACTGATTTGAGTACCTCCACCACTTGACATGCGACCCACCAGCTGACATAGCCAAATAAATGAAAGTGTCACGTGGTGTACAAGCATTTCAGCACTCTCCAATTGTAATTGTTTCAGCTCACTGGTAAGTTGAACAATTCTTACAACCAAATTAAGCATTTATTTACAAAAGGTCACTTGAAGCTGCAGGAAGTCAAAATGGAGGGTCGCACGACATTAATTTGTCCAGATCATTACATGGCCTAACCAATCAATAAATTATTAATCACATTGGCTGCAAAAGCCTATATATTTCCATTGACAAATGTCCATTTTGAATTTAGATAAGTTTATAAAACAGCGCATTTTGTAGCAAATGAGCCTCCAGAAATGGATCCGTTTAAATAAAATAGAAATTATATCTTCTTGGGCTTTATAAAAAATCCATGGAACATTACATTAGATTACTCATGCATGTATTAAAATCCCAAAATAATAGTTTTGCATTGGCATAACACACAAAGTACTAAACTTTAAACCAATCATTGACATTTACACTTCAACCTCTCTCCCCCCCCACACCTAATGCAATATGTTTTAGCGTATTGTTTATTCTCATCTGCTCCCTGTTTGTACAGTTTAATGTTCTCTATTGTAACATTACTACAGTATATAACTTATGTAAGTCAGTGTACATGATTCAATGCAAGTGTCATGAACATGACAAATCAAATTTAATCGACGAAAAAAATTAATCGTTACATGTCCAACAAGCCAAAATGAAGAAAAACATGAGCACAGTAAAAATGCTTTGTGTTGTGTGCTCTTCTTGTAGTTTATGTGCTGATATTGCTGATACTGGGTATCCTCACTGGTGTCGTGATTATTATCACCGCTGCCATAACGGCAAGGGCCATCTATTACAGGTGAGAGGAGCTTCACGACACTGCATTTACATTTTATACATAGGAAACTAATTTATTAAAAAATGTTGTGTTTAGTCTGTTGTCCTTTCCCCGCACCTCCAATTAGCACGGTTGGCTATGTATGGTGCGAAATAAGTTAAACATACATTCACGCGTGTCCCGCACACTCGAACAACAGTAACATTTGACACAGTATTCACTGATTATATTTAAAGGTAGCTACCATGATTTTCTTGACCGCAATCAACTCGGCACTAATCTATGAGCAACAGATTACAGCCAAGGGATGGAACACACTTGGGATTTCTAAACCGCAGTACACATCGCACCTATTGAGCCTTTTACAATTTGTTTGAAAAAGTAGACTGTTCCTCAACTGTACATTTCATTCAGAATGCAAAATGCCAAACAATCGTTTTATGAACAACCGTTTCAAATGGTTGAGCAATGAATAACCCACAAACGCGGTAACCTCATATTACACTCTAGTTTGCAGTCCAACGTTCAGTGCCAAGCACAGCCAGGGACACATTGATTTGCGTGCCAAATTGTCCAATGCAAGAACATTCCATCATGTGCACCTGTATACAAATGCATATGCTTTGAAGTCAACGTTCAGGCACATTGAGAAACGACATGACAAACACTGAGCTCTAAATGCATTACTGTACAGTAGTGCCCATTGCTTCAGCGACTCCGCTTACTCTACACAGTTGAATCACACTTTTGTATTTGAACAATGGACACCGCACTCATATTGTCATGCGCTACCACCAGTCACATGTTCACCTAGCATCAGGCACATGGCGATGATGATGAGAGTGTGGCCCAGTCTGTAAACCTTGCGAGGTCCACCACAGTGAACAGCTCCTCCGGGAGCTGACAGACCAGTAGATGCTGCATGGTCTGCTTTTCGCCAGAGTTATGTGTGTCAGTGTCGTTAGAGTAGCCCCACTTCCGAACACTTACCACCACAAATTTGTCCCGGGTATGAGATTAACTGCATTGGGTGGTGATAGTGTCACCTAAAAAGCACTTGAGGAAGGAAAGAGGAAACGCCACAACCACTCTTCCACATTATGGCTCAAGAATGAGAGTGTTGAAGAGAGCCGAGTGATATCGGGTGGAATGAAGAAAGTTTGAGCCATGGGCCTGCCCTTGGGCAGAGAATGTGGTGCGGCCTTGCTTTGCCCCGTATACTACTCGCGTTGTACACTACGCGGTCAATGCAACAAAATCTCACCCATAGTCCCCGTGCTGCTCATTTTGCAGAAAACGCCTATCCAAGGGGCAGAAAAATAAAAATATGCTGGAGCTCAGTGACTATATGGAGTACAATCAATCGAAGGTAAATGGCACCTGAAATGTAATTGTATAGTGTGTTGTATAATTCAATCTTAGTTCACAACCAAATGTGTATAAGAATCAATATTGCAGCTAAGTCGTCATGAGGGGAACACGATGCTTGGGCATCGTGCATTCACATTGCGAGACACTACAAGTGTCTCGCAACAAGTGGATGAAATAATATTTTAAGCATGCACAAGAATCCTATAAAATTTGTATTATGATTTTGTTTTAAAATGTTACATTGCTTTATCTTGCATCGACACATCTAGCCCTAAATGTGAATACGAATTCTGAAGCTTATTGGACTGTAATAAATATATGTAGTGGCGAATCATTGTAAGACAAGGCCTTTCCTTGAGGTTTATCTCAATGAAAGTTACATTCTTTATGCTAACGCAGGACGATGAAAAAAAGATGGTCATTTGCTAGTTTTCAAATGCTTAAATAATTAATTAATCGTGACAGTTTATATTTTAGACTGTACTTGGATAATGCAGGTATCTTGAAAAAATGGTCTTGTCAAATATTAGCAATTGCCATTGTATATGAGATGATACGACAGAAGTTAAATAATGATCTGTGTGCTTGTGTACCACTACTAATGCAGCATCACTAAATAATTTGTACATTAGTTGATTTGGTCATGTCTGGCCACCGTGTGTCATCCTATGCAGGGCTCACGAAATGGAATATCAGGATTCTCGAATGAGCTGTGCTCCAAGGAGGACGCCTACCTTCCTTTTGTCTTCACACCAGTTGCCCTGAGCGAGGTATTTTATATACAGTATGTGGTTTAGAATTGTCGGTCATGAGGGTTGTTTAATCATACTTCACCACGCTGGTCAGTACGGGTAGCTTAAGGAAACACATTTTGTCTCGCCTCTTGATGAGGACCTGTCTGGAACGGGTGCCCCTATAGAGCATTGTCGCCCATGTCTTCAGAGTTCTGAAGAGTTGCTGTGTCAAGGCAGCAGCTGATTAAATAAGAGGTGTGCAACGATGAGATGAGTTACTATGCAGGAATGAGTTGAATTGTAGCATCGTGGGACCGTGGCGATGATATCAGGAGGGCCTTCATCCAGCAGTGGAGAAACGATGATTGATGAGATGATACTACATGTAAAAGTTAGGCTGTTGCAATTAATAAGTATGTCTTTATACATCACTGCCAGCGCTGCTCCTGTGCAGGTTTCATTTTACGCAACACTTTATTTCATGTTTAGCGTTGAGATCCTTTGAAATTCTCAATTCCTAACAAAGGTCAATCGGTGTGCATGCGTTTGTTGTTGGTGGTGTGTACAGCCCCTGAAGCGCATCCCCAGGATCCAGCTGAAGGACTCTTCAGTGGGCACAAATTCAACATCGGCATCTCCCGTGCCTGATATTAGCAAGGTACCAGTTTATCTCTCACCATTGAGATAACCAGAACCGTTTGCCCTTTTAAAAATGCCTTCTAAAACGCTTCGCCACAATTTATAGCAATCAAACTTCACCAATTAACGACTTATTTGAATCGTGGGATGCTGATACCAATGTTTTACCTCCGTTTAGAGGAATCTATATGTTATAAAGAGCATTGCTTTTATAGGTACTTTACTTATTTTGTTGCAGTGTTTAGCAAGCAAAAGTCAACTACTTGGCTATATGAATATTGACCATGTGAATTAACATTAGCATTGTCTTGTATGTATGTTTGTTGAACTTCTTTCGCATCAAACGTAGCCAGCCGTGCTAATCAGAGGTGTCTTTCAGGTACCACAGAACAAGGGTGAAAGAGATGACGTGGCATCCATCTACACGCCCGATGGATCGTCCACCTACTATTAGGCTAATGGCAGCAATTCAGCAGCATCGGGCAAGAATTCCAAGTTCTGCTTTAACGGGTGATAAAAAAAATCACAAATTTCAGAGGCAAACTGGCACTGTCCAAAGACAATTCTGGATAAACAAAAATAGCCCTGATAATCTATGTAACTCAATTGTTGTCGTTGCAAATTGAAACAGCAACTTCTCGTTTGCTAAACACAACATATCTCAAGTTCAGGTAAAGGTGAATAACGTTTTAAAACATTAAATGCAGTACAAAACAATACGTGGCCAGAATTATTCACGCAGTGAGCAGTTTGACGTGGCACAGCCACCCAAACAAATAGGAGACAATCTTACTACAGTACAACATAAAACATCTCATTCTGAACTACAACCCTTTATCGACATTCATCTAAAAAACTATATGAAACAGAAAACATTTGTCGAAACATTCCTTATTTTTGCTCTATTTCAAATTCAGCACAAACATTGTACTGCACTTTGTTTTTGCGACAAGAGTAGTGAGTGAAAAGTAACTGGTTAATTTTAAGTACAGTGAAACATGACTGAACTCCTGCATTAAGGGAATCTTCTGCTGCCTCGTCCGAGTGATCCATTGCCCCTCCATGCACGTGAGAGGACTCGACTACGTAGTTACCAAAGAGGCTTTTATTGCAGCCAATAACGACGCATATGCATAGAGTGAGGGGAAAAAAGTATTTTTTTGTTATTCTGTCTCACTGTTCAAATAAACCTACCATTAAAATTATAGACTTATAATTTCTTTGCCAGTGGGAAAACGTACAAAATCAGCAGGGGATCAAATACTTTTTCCCTCACTGTATGCATATGGGTTCCCGATATGCTGGACTTTATCCATTATGTACCCATCCCAACGTGCCTTCTCGAACCTTCTCAACGGATTCTTACCCCTTAACCAAATTTAACCCCGGATTCCCCCAATGGGTCTCTAACCAACCCTCCCCTTTGTGCTTGCAATTTCCTGGGCTTTGAACCATTCAAACCACTCCACCAAATCAGCGCATCCCCTCGCGCTTCACAAATCCAGTTCGCATACTTGCTCGCTTCCACACGGTGTTCGGCCAAAGGCTTCGTCGGTGTGTGCTGGACGCAACTGTTGTACATGCACACATCTCCACCCCGAGAGCATCGTTCGGTCATGCATGCATGTCAAAATCGCGACGTGACCAGTGCAATCGAAATGAAAACGCACACAAACGTGGATAAATCCTCTTGTTAACACACACACACGTGACGCACGAAGAGCACGTACATTTCTTACGCACAGTGATTCCATGCTCAACTTTGAAGAAGGCTGAAGTACAAGCCAGTCACGCCTGGTTTTTGGTCCTGAGGAGCCAGTGGGGGTGGGGAATTAATAATAAAGTAATACCCCGATTTACATCTCTCCCTTTTACATCGTTTCACAAATACATCATCACTTAATGAATACCGCGACCTGATTTGCGTCGCCTTGACCCACACGTCGCCGACAGTATCATCCGTCTGCCCTAGTATCCGTCAACTTTGCCCCCACTCACCCTGTAAATTGCTTTGATTTACGTCGTTTCGATATTCGTCATGACACCTTTCAGGAACGCATCCTCCGACGTAACTCGTGGTATGAACTGTACTTAACTGCACATTAACAAGTTTATAAAGCAAGTGTCAATTCACGCTTCACACGACACTAATGTACAATTTTGCAAAGGCACCTGCTCATAACTGATACTAAATATGGTACTCCCCGATGAACAAGTGGGAGCACTGTACAAGATTGCTCCGAAAGCACACCTGTCAACCCCTTATCAGTGCCATACCTTATTATGGACCAATTTAGACCTTATTGGTCACCCCATTCCCTTATAAATCTCAACGTTCATCCTACAAAGTCCTATCACAAGGGAGAAACACAAATAGACGCTTTTATGCCCGTAATGAAACGGCCGTATGCCATGTGGGCCCGAAAACTCAATTTCCCTGTACAAGAATACGGGTGAACCGTATGGGTTTACATGGTATGCGAAAGGAGCAGCTCCAACCACCTGCAGTGAAGCCATTGAACTGCGCTCCACATTAACGTGGCAGTTCGGGAGCACCTTGCGCATTATTGGGTTTGGTCTGGACAATGCAGTAGGCCGGCGATGCTGGGGCCCAGCTGTGCCCTTCTGTCCATGCGCTTGTCAATTACGATACCCATCTTCACCATCGCTCTCGAACTTCTCTGCCCCAACAATATATTGGCCCACCGACTGCTGCTCGTTCTCATTGCCATCTGAATTTAACGTGTGAAAAGCACGTTTTATTTAATTAACATTTTCTGATTGATGTGATCAGCAACGTAATTACTCTTTTGGTTCTTTCGGTAAAGTCACGTAGAAAGAAATTAAATAATAGAATACGACGTTTCGATTGCAACACAAGCAACCATCATCTGATTATTATTTAATTTCTATCTACGTGACTTTACCGAAAGAACCAAAGAGTAATTTCTGCAGTCACGACAGCTTCGAATCTAGTTTAATAAAGTAATTATTTGCACTAGATCATGTGATGAATGTTGCGTGAAGTGGGATTTTGTGCATTAATATATTTCCTGACAAAGTGGGAATAGGTGGCTTCAAATATTTCTTGCATTGAAAATGTGTGATGAACCACAAAGCATGTTCCCACATCTTCTTTGGTTCTTTTGGTAAAGTCACGTAGAATGAGAATAAAATAATAAATTAACAAAATAAAATAATAAAATTCTCACGACGTTTCGGCCACAACACAAGTGGCCTTCATCAGGTGAAGGGACGAGACTGTCTGGAGGACAGCGCTGGCCGAAACGTCGTGAGAATTATTTTATTTTATTAATTTATTATTTTATTCTCATTCTACGTGACTTTACCGAAAGAACCAAAGAAGATGCATCCTTGCAGTCATGAAAGCTTTAAATCGAAATTTACATGTTCCCACACACAAATACTCTGTGCAATGTACAATCAGTGACAATACAACATTGAGCTTATTCCCAGTTTCATATAAACCATTCATAAAATATCTACAACTGCGCAATACGCTTGTGTGCAACTTCTGCACTTACATATATGTTAATTCCTCGGGTCTGCATTCAAAACCAACAGCCTCTACTGCAGACACAAACATACTTTTACGTCAATGGTTATTGGCATGGAAGTGTCACATTGGGGTGATTAATACATTACCACAATATAGTAAGAATATGTACCCAAAGTGCGCAGATATGATTAAATTGCAATATTTCTGCACGAACACAAATTTTAAAACGATATTGACTCCTGCAAATGAATGCACAGTTACAACTATGACAAAATGTACGTGTGTTCTCAGTACGGATCATATGAATGCACTGAATGGCCAACTTGAACCTTCCACTGAATCACATAACATCGTCTTGCTGATGGAGGTGTCACTATAAATAAACGTAATAATGATCAATTTACCCTGCTTGATTTCACACAAAGCGAAGAACACAATTGCAACTATATTTTCACGGAACATTCCTAACAGGGCGTCATCCTGAAGCACAGTGAATTATCTTTACATGGTATAATCATCTAATAAATGTATTTAAAACAATTTGGAATGTATATGAACAGCACTCAAAACATTAAGCAGGATAAAGCATCAGTATGGTGAATCGAGATATAATTCGTCAGAAGCATTGTGAAACATAGATAAGGGGAAATCGTTTATCTCCTTCACAGTACGGCCAAAGATCATTTCTGAAAATGTCAGTTTCATGACAAACTTACAAAGTTCAAAATGTAAACATGAATTAAATAATATTCTTAGCTCTTTCGGTAAAGTCACGTTGAAGGGAAACAATAAAATAACAATAAAATAAGTAAATATATAAAACGTTTGTGTTATGGTCGAAACGTCGTGAGAATTTTTATTGTTTTATATATTTTATTTTGTTTCCCTTCAACGTGACTTTACCGAAAGAGCTAAGAATATGAATTACTGCAGTCACGAAAGCTTTAAATCAAAATGAATTAAATAAGTTTAAACACCCAGAACACTCGAGGTCTATTCGACATTCGCATTGTTAACAAGAATATTTCATCATCATCATCATTAGACCTCCTTTGCCAGTACCAAAATATAGTAATTGGGGTTTTCCCCTTTTTTCCGGCAACAAAACTTAAACCTTTTTTTACGAGGATTCATGTCTGCATTAACCACAATACCTGCAGTCAAAATGCAAACAAAAAACATACTATGATAATATATGCATTCAAATTTCGATTTAAAGCTTTCGTGACTGCAGGGATTCATCTTCTTGGTTCTTTCGGTAAAGTCACGTAGAAGGGAAATAATAAAATAATAAAAATAAAACATGATAAAATATTATTTCCTTTCGTGACTTTACCGAAAGAACGAAGAAAAATATATGCATTGTCCTTGAAACTGATTGGTCCACACCAAGGGACGGCTTTCTTTTGAGCCTCGACCCAATTGGTGCTCGACCAGATGACGCCACAAGGCGTACAGCTCAAAGACAATGCCACTATCAAAGTAATGAGGGCTCGGGGATGAGCATCTACATCATTAGACCTCCTTTGCCAGTACCAAAAAAGGGGAAAACCCTATTATATTTTGGTACTGGCAAAGGTCTAATGATGTAGATGCTCACCCCGAGCCCTCACTACTTTGATAGTGCATTGTCTTTGAGCTGTAACGCCTTTTGGCGTCATCTGGACGAGCACCAATTGGGTCGAGGCTCAAAACAACTAAATCCAGAAAAGAACCAAGATGAATCCCTGCAGTCACGAAAGCTTTAAATCGAAATTCAAATGCATATATTATCATAGTATGTTTTTTGTTTGCATTTTGACTGCAGGTATTGTGGTTAATGCAGACATGAATCCTAGTAAAAAAAGGTTTCAGTTTTGTTACCAGAAAAAAGGGGAAAAACCGTATTATAACAAGAATGTTATTTTGTATTTCACTGTCAACAAGGCTATCTCGGCCTCGCTGTGCGCTGCGTTGCACCGCTATCCGAGTAGATAACCTCGCATCTAATAAACCTTCAAAGCCAGGGTGAACATCCGACTCCAAACGTAACTTATTGAATTGAACGAGGTAAAACTAATGGAAAAACAGCACAGAAACAGCAAATGTTAATACTTGGATATATCAATACAATTAATGAACACTACAGCATCATAACATTGTCCTAGATAACATGTTTCTCAACAATAGATCCTGGATGGACGAGGCACCTACATTAGCACTGCATAGCTATACAAGAGAACAAGCTACTGTGTTAAATAAAAGGCACATCGTGTAATCATCACACTGCACCCCACATGTACAGCACTACATATAACACTGAGCTGTGGATGAGACATTTCATCATCCTTTCTCTCAAGATCGCAATAAGGTTACATGCGTACGAGTCTGACTCGACTTATTCAATTACAAGTAACATTTACAATAAGGCAAGTTGCAGGCTTTGTTGTTAACTAGGCCTCATATGTTTCTTAACATTATAACGGCATTTACAGCATTATAATGATAATTCTAACATTACAGCATTCCCAGTATTATAAGAACATAAACGAACATACAGACAATGAATTTTGATTTAAAGCTTTCGTGACTGCAGTAATTCATATTCTTAGTTTTTTCGGTAAAGTCACGTTGAAGAGAAACAACAAAATAACAAAATATATATAAAACAATAAAAAATTCTCACGACGTTTCGACCATAACTCAAACGGTCATCATCAGGTGTGTCGGTTTGCATAAATTTATTTTGAAAACGGCATATTTATTTATTTATATATAAAAATAACGTTTGCATCACGCGCAACGATGGCAGTTTGCCCAGGACTAGTCCATCTATTTTTTGAAAAGAGGAGGGGGGAGACGAAATTTGTTTTTATGTATGCTGTCTGAAAGCCACTGTAAGCGTGAACAATCAATCAAGAAGTGAAATGATTTATCAAATCTTTCCAATGATTGCTAAGATAGAATCCATCTTCTCGGTTGAAATTGTCTCTGTGTTTGTATATGTGGATAGCCTCATGAACGAATCTCTCATGGAAGCCAGATGGCTTACAAAGAACCTCCGTCTTGGAAAAGTCAATGGCATGTGAGCCTACTGAATTAGAACAATGATCTGCTACGGCCGAGGTGTTGGTCCTACCGTGTTTAAGGTCTGCTTTATGTTCACGAATGCCATATCTCGGACCGCATTCGTGAACATAAAGCAGACCTTAAACACGGTAGGACCAACACCTCGGCCGTAGCAGATCATTGTTCTAATTCAGTAGGCTCACATGCCATTGACTTTTCCAAGACGGAGGTTCTTTGTAAGCCATCTGGCTTCCATGAGAGATTCGTTCATGAGGCTATCCACATATACAAACACAGAGACAATTTCAACCGAGAAGATGGATTCTATCTTAGCAATCATTGGAAAGATTTGATAAATCATTTCACTTCTTGATTGATTGTTCACGCTTACAGTGGCTTTCAGACAGCATACATAAAAACAAATTTCGTCTCCCCCCTCCTCTTTTCAAAAAAAATAGATGGACTAGTCCTGGGCAAACTGCCATCGTTGCGCGTGACGCAAACGTTATATTTTTTATATATAAATAAATAAATGTGCCGTTTTCAAAATAAATTTATGCAAACCGACACACCTGATGATGACCGTTTGAGTTATGGTCGAAACGTCGTGAGAATTTTTTATTGTTTTATATATATTTTGTTATTTTGTTGTTTCTCTTCAACGTGACTTTACCGAAAAAACTAAGAATATACAGACAATGCTTCTTAAAGTCCCACAATGAAGATGCACCTGTGGTCACCGACATTATTTGTGCCTCCATTCAGCACTGTGTAATGGCTGACACCCGCGTGGTTGAGCGGGAATCTCAAATTGCAATTTCCTGGTCACGTGACCAAACTCAGCATCAAAAACAGCAAATTCCTGTGTACACACGCCCCTACTGCTGCGGAGCAAAACACCTGCCTGTGAGGCAGAACACTCCCTGTCTGGTATCTAGGAGATACCAATATTATTTTTTTTATCTCATGAACAAATGTATTACAACTGCAACGGGTCAACTTATTTGTCCATATCTCTGCGAGAGAAAATTAGTACTGTCTCGACTATGGACCTGACGAAAGTTCTTGCGACACCTTGCTTTGCAATCATAACCTCGACCTTTCGAACCTTTCCATCGGCACTGGGAATCGTCTTGAGGATACGGCCCGTTGGCCACTCCTTCCGTTTGACTTGGTTGTCCTTCAGTAGGACGAGGTCACCTTCTTGGATGTCTGGTGTGTTAGACTGCCACTTGCTGCACACTTGAAGTGTTGTAAGGTACTCGTTTTTCCAGCGACGCTAAAACGTGTTGGCGAAGCTCTGCACTTGCTT